GATTAACTCTTCTTGAGCTTGACTTTTGGATTGTATTTTGTAATATCACTATTTTGTGCTTATGGTTGTACTTATGGTTGTTGATGGTTGTGCTTATAGTTGTGCTCATGGTGCAAATTTGTGCTTATAGTTGTTGATTGTTGAATGCTTTATGAAGCTGGTTTCAAGTTTCTAGTTTCTATCAGGGGATAGGGGATAGTGGATAATTGGATACAGAATCTCCGACAGCTACTAGTTTTGAAGTTAATCATTAAACTAAAATACCTCCTATCACATATATCACCTTCATATTTTTTTCTATTCATCAACTTATTTTTTTAGATTTTTTAGAATTTTTTTACATTTATTGACCACATCATCGCGATGCACCCGCATCTGGGTCGCATCGCCGCATCGACCCCCACCGCATCAAGGCCGCATTTTAAAACACTGGGTCAAGCAAGTGGCACTAATATGGTTTTTGAAGATTGTTTCATTATATTACTATACAATTGTTGCATGAAATCATTCCCTAAAATATGATTTTATATATGAGTATAATTTTCATCTTGGACCTAGCCCCACCTAGCATCTACAACCCTCAATAATGGCATTGTGGAATTATAATTTTTCTTAATCAATTTTATAATTGGGAAGGTGAATGCTTAAGTCATGGGCAAAAAGTCTAAGTCATTGTATGTGTAGATCATTATAATAGTCTTCAATGTAGTCCTAAATTATTACATTGTACTAATAATGTTATCTTTTTATTGTTAGATTGTACTAAACAAGAGGCATTCACGGGAACAATAAAAATCTAGTCCGGAAAACCAAATAACAAATAAACTGCTATATAACTTACAATGGGATCCCATTAATGGATTCTACAGCTGTATTTTTTATTTTATTCTTTCTCTTTCGAGAAGAACAGAACCTCTTTAAAATTAGGCCCCATTTGGAGATGCTAATAGTCATATCAAAGAAATATCCCTGCTGGGCTTTATGAGCAATCCTGAGAAATCTAGTCTTAGCGTCATCATAGTCATATGAAAGAAGATCCATGTTTTGGGAATAAAGGAAAAACAAGTTCTCTTATTGTGGTCTTACAAGCATTGTGGCAGCATTTTGGGAACAAGTGAGATAACAAAAAATAGGTTCCGTCGTGACTAATGACAAAAAATAGGCTCACGTCAAGTTCCGTGGAAGGGTCCTCAGATCATCCAGGAGATGCATGCTACTTCCATCATAGTGATCCTCAATGATGAAGGACAAGAAGAAATTGCATTATTTAGGCCACTAAGTTTGGTGAGCAGTATGTGTGAATCACCAGGTTAAGGGGGTTTTACTTGGGATAAATCATATCACCTTCACAAGAAGTACTAGAAAAAGCAATGCAAATATTTTTTTGAATTGGAAAAGCAAGGGAAACATTAGCTTGAGGTTGAGGGTATGAGGATGAGAACTCCTAGAGGGAAGAACAGCGCATTCAATTCTACAAGACCTCAAAACTTAAAAATAGCCACACAACTAGTAAAATAGCCACATAATAAAAAGAAATCATGATAAAAAATTCATGTCGGCTAAAGCAACAAGAAACCCCAGAAAATATGCACTGTGAAGTTAGCTTACTTCGCATGTACACAAGTTAAAAAATTAAAGCCAAAAGAGAAAGAAATGAAACCACATTTGGATTAACAGTGTCCAAGTGATAGTTAAGATTTAGAAAAGAAAATGCGTTTATGCAAGACAAGTATTCCCTCCTTTTGTTTTTAAACTAAAATTTCACTTTCACAACCACGATAAATACGGATCTTTCACAAATACAATGTAAACACAAATATGAAACCAGAAAGTAAAGGAAAACTGTAAATCATTTTGATTTAAATACATCAAAACCCAGGAGAACTGTAACACTAGCTTCCAAAACCATAACTCACAACAAATAATTCATCTGATGAAACGATGGGATATGCATGTTTAGGATTCAAAAGAGAATAAATATCCATGACTCATACTATTGGTGCCTTGCATCATCAAAACCCTAAAACTATGCACAATTCACAATAAAAACCTAGAATGATGGAGAAAAAAAAAAAATCTAACAGAAACCAAAGCCAATAATTAGAAAAAATATATATATATAACAAAAAAAAATTTCAGAGGAATACCCATCATAAAGATAAATTTCTAATGGAAAAAGAGAAGATATGGCAATATGATGCCACAACCTATGATCCAAGCTCATGAACCCTCAGAAAAGGTGGAACTCACAAAGGAAACCCAAAAAAAATTGTGAAAGGTCCTATCAAAATCCTAACTTATCAAATACCTCTGGAAAATGCGGAATTCAAAAGGAAATATCTGAAGCTATGGTGAAATTAAAAATAAAAAAAATCAAGATTAGCAAAATTTATAACCAAAAAGGAAAACCCAAAATGACCAATACAATGCAACAAAATTAAATAAAGCATAGGAAAAGACGGACTCCCTGAAGAGAGCTCACAGAGGAAAAAGACAAATACATAGAAAAGGAAAACCCATAATAACAAGAAAAATTAAAAATTAAATAAATAAATAAGTACATAAACCCAAGGAAAAGACAGATTCAGGACAGGAAAGCCTAAATGACTGAAAATCAAACACATAAATACTAAATGCAGGAAATGGAACCTACATTGACAATGAAAGGCGCAACAAACACAAACACAAACACAAACACATAAATACTAAATGCAGGAAATGGAACCACATTGACAATGAAAGGCGAAACAAACACAAACACATAAATACTAAATGCAGGAAATGGAACCTACATTTTTATTTTTATTTTAAAGTAGAAATGGAACCTGCATTGACAATGAACGGAGAAACAAACACAAATAAGCCCAAGGGGAATGGAACTAGAAGCACAAATTAGAAATAAAAAATAGGCACTGTTCAAAGTTTCAAACGAGAACCTTCTACTCTGACAAAACATTTGAGATCCATAACAACCCACATAAATGAAATAACTTATCCATGAACAGAAACCCTAAAATAACAGTTACTTATAAGCACTCAATACGAATCCAAATGATGGACATCACTAATGTATAAACAAAAACCCCCAAAATGGAAGTAAAAGACAATCACTGTAATCAACTAGATAGAGAAAGAGAAAGAGACGGAGAGGAAGATAGAGAGAGTACCTGAAGATTGTTTGCCTTAATGTACTCCCAAACCTTTTTCATGGCATCAGTGCGAGAAATATCCGGAACACCGAGAAACTTGCGCATGGCTGGAGAGACAGGAATGCTTTTAAAGATGCCACTGGTACTACGAGCTGGCTTAGCGGTAGGTTTTGGCTGAGAAGGTTTCAAAAGGGAAGGGTTAGCGGTGGATTTTGCTTTAGTTTTGGCAACCGCCATAAGGACTCTGCTCGCTTCGAAAACCCTAGACATGGTGTTATACCTTCTTCCTCTGCAACTCAAAGAGGTTTTTTCGGCCCTTTGTCCTAAACGCAGAGAGGGAGTGTTCGTCCGTGCATTTTAATAAAGCGACGAGAGATTCCCTCGTCCCAAGAAATAAGTAGAGAGAGAACGACGAGAACACCCTGATTCTTTTGTTAAATGCCAAAGTGGCACAGCGATTCAAATTTTAAAGGAGAAAGAGAAATACCCTGGACCCATTAGCAGTTATGGAAAGGTGCCGTAGTCGTTTAAAAGATGATTTTTACAACAAAAAAAATTCTCCGACTTTTTGAAATACGACAAGAATTCCAAGTTTTTCAAAATATTTTCAAAAATTCGTATTTTTTAAAAGAAAAGATAGAAATCCTTATTTTATCTTTTTTAAAAAAAAACTTATTCGCTATAACAGTGGGAGTAATTTTTTATTTAAATCCATATGTAATTGAATTTTGATTTAAAGTAATTTTGATTTAAATCCATATGTAATTGAATTTAGATTTAAAGATAAGTACATCAACAGCGGAAGTAAATTAAAAATATTGATCGAGCCTAATTCGGGGCTTTCCTCCTTTTCTTTGTTTTCATGTTTTCTTTTTTTTTCTTTCCCATATAACCTTCATTATCTTAATGAATATTGCCTTTATCAAATAAAATAAAATTTATTGATCTAACAAAAAATTTCATCAAGAATTTCACCAATGAGTTCTTGTAAAAAAAAGTGTATGAAAAAATACAAGCAATATCCTCCTCAAAGAAGTAATCAAAACAATTGTATATTTCAATATAATAGGTAGAATAAGAATAAGAATAACCCAATGGAAAAAAAAAATCCTTTAAACCCATAGCGTCCTTATAAATAGCATGAGAAAGATTCAATGATGCAAAGCTTTAGGTAGCTAGGAATTGAGTGCAAGATTTTAATTTGCTCAAGTATTTTGTTGTTTTTTTTATGCATAAAGAAGTTTGATTAGTTTCATATTTTATTTTCTATTTTTTATTCCATTGGTGTATTCATAGCATTTTGGATGGACCACTAATTTACTTATTTGAGTCTTTATATTTTCTTTTTAATTAACCACAATCTTATATTGATAGTGTTTTTTTTTTCCTTTGAAAAATAATCCTATACCTTGGTTCACAGTTCTTGTAATTTGCTAGTTAGTTCTTGTGTTTAGTATTGTTGTTGTTGTTTTATTCTATGCTCCCAATAAATCTACGACATGTTTTTTGTTGTGATAACAAAGTAAACATTATTGCTAGATTTATTGAAAGCGTCAACAAAAAATTATTAAATGTCTACTATATATTAAGCAAGAAGGACACCCGCACCATTTTTATGACATGTGTCCCTGTCCCTATTTTTTTTCTTTCTAAAAAAGAATTCAATTGTTGCCAAAGATTCCCACCTCCTTAAAACTCTCCAAAAGGGTTCGACTCATTGTCTATCTTCTCAAAAATTTCAGAGCCAAAAGTTCTTACCTCCTTAAATCTCTTCAATAATCTCCCTCCTTAAATTAAACATCAAAGGTAATATATTTCCTCTCTCATTTCTTTCTCCCATCAATCACCCATATCCTTAAATCTCTATCACTCTATCCTGAAATATGTCTTTCTTTACTTCTCCTTAAATCTCTCTCTCTTCCTTTCCCTCCCTCTCGAGGCGCTCTCTCTCTCTCTCTCAAATCTTTGTTATAAACACAAGAACTAACTAGCAACAACAATTCTATTTGTGTCATTTTCTATTTAACCTCATTATATTTTATTTTTTAAATATATAAATTTAATTTATTGTGTGAATCAGAATTAAAGAAGATCATCATTTGGCTTGAGTAATTGTGGTTGAGCAATTTGAATAATGACAATCGTATTTTCTAATTGTTGTGTAATTGTTGTGATTTTATATCACTTAATCATAGATCTCTGGACACCGTCAAATTTAAAATACCAATTTAAAATGTTAAGTAATAAAATGAGTTTCTTTTATTTATTGTAGTTTAGTACCACATTTATTTGTGATGTTTACCATTTAACCTAATTATATTTTATTTATTAAATTTATAAATCTAATTTATTGTGTGGATCATAAATACAAAAGAATAATATTTGTCTTGATTAATTGTGGTTAAATAATTTGAATTATGATAATAGTATTTTCTAATTTTTGTGTTTATTTTCATAACTATATTGTTGTATCCCTTTATAACAATTATATATTTTAATTAATTGATTAACAAGATAGCATTTGGCTTGAGTAATTGTGGTTGACTAATTTGAATAACAATAATAGTATTTCCTAATTGTTGTCTTTATTTTCATGACGATTATATATTTTAATTAATTGATTAGCATAATATTAATTTGATAATCATAATTAATTATAATAATATAATGACACTTACATAAATAATGTATTAGCATCGTTTATTAATAATAACGAATTATATATATTAAAAATATATGCTTTACAATTAATATAACGAATAATGCTAATAGTGTTTCCTTATTGTTGTGTTTATTTTTATAACTAATAGTATTGTATACTCTAATGACAATTATATATTTTAATTAATTGATTAGCATAATATTAATTTGATAATAATAATTAATTATAATAATATAATGACACTTTAATGTATTAGCATCGTTTATTAATAATAACGAATTATATATATTAAAAATATATGCCTTACAATTAAAATAAGGAATTAATGAACATAATATATTAAAATGAAAACTTATATTCATAATAATTAACATGATTATAGATATTGATATGTATAAATTTAAAGTTATTGAAACTTTATAATATTTTTTATTTATTTAATAATTTATTATTATATAATTATTTACTATAATTTCGTTAGTGGAGATTATGATATATATTTTATATCAATTAATAATGTTTTTCAACAATAATTAACATGGTGATGATTAATCAATTTGATTATATTAATTATAATTCAAAACTATTATAATATTTATAACAAAAAATAACTATAATTATTATTTAGAAACAACAATAGTATGATTGTAATATTTTATTAAATACCATACTTATTACAAAAACAATTATAATTATAGCTTGTATTATTATAAGAGTAATGATCTTATAGGACCCTCTCCCATCCATGTGTGTAGGACCTCAAAGAATCGTCATTAAAGTTGGCACGGATCTCTAAAAAAGTTATCATATGGGTGTGAGACTTGACTTTTCTATAGAACCATGCCAAGTTTAATGGTAATCCTTTGGGGTCCTACACACATGGGTGGGAAAGGGTCTTATAAGATAATTTCTCTTATTATAAATATAACTATACATTAATAAAAATCTTATTATTATAAAAATATATTCCATATTAATTTTTTATTTTTAAAGATACTTTTGGTCGGTATTATAAATGAGATCATTTATGTGCATATGAATAATACTAAGTATACTTTGATAATTAAAAAATACAATAATTTATTTAGTATAATGAAATTAAATATAGTTTGATTAGTCATAGATACAATAATTATGTTATACTATTAGAATTTTAACTAAATAATATTAATACTCATATTAATCTATTTTAATAATGAATAATGATACTATGAGACCCTCCCATACACATGTGAGTAGGACTCTAAAGGATCACCATTAAATTTTGACACAGATATCTAGAAAAGTTATCAATAAACCTTTTCACCCAAGTCCCACACCCATACGATAAAATTTCGAATATGGTGGGTAAATAGTGAATAATCATGAGCATTTCGTTTCAACCTAGCATTCAGAATGACATGTCGAAACTATTCAAATCAAGCTCTTGGAGCTTATTTTAAACCATACAAAGATTTTTTCAAATGACATACTATAGACAATACCCTGGAGGAGGTCTTATATATATTGTCTTTCAAATGTCCATGAAGAAATGCATTCTTCACATCCATTTGAGAGATAGTCCACTGATGAATAGCTGAAAGGGCAATTATTGTATGTATAGTGATATCATGTTAACAACAGGAGTAAATGTTTCATAATAGTCCATGTCATGTAACCTTTAGCAACTAGTCGTACTTTATATCGCTCAATCCCTCCATCAGACTTAAGGTTCACAAAAAAAATCCATTTACTTCCAATAATAGATGTGTGAGGAGGACACGATACAATATGTCAAGTGTTATTTTCTAACAAGGTACTTATTTCTACATCCATAGCCTCTTTCCAACAAAGCATAGTCAATGATTGTTAGTAGGTGGAAGGAATATCAACTTAAATTGAAAGGGTAAACAATGATCTAGGAAGTAAACAAAGATCTAGGTGTTTTGAAGGAATTTCAACAATATCAAGAGAAGTAAACAAAACTCTAGGTTGTAGTGAAACGTCAAAATCATCAAAAGAAAAACCATATCGGTCAGGTAGGTGAGTTACATGTGAAGAATGTCGTAACTGGATGGAGTTATCAAAATAAACAGTGTTAGGAGAAAATGAGAAGGGAAGATAATTACTTACAAGTAAGGCGGAAGTTTGACCTTGCTCTAGTTAGTGAGATAGAGGAGGCATATATTGGTTTTGTTTGCCCTGATGTTGATACACCAAAAGTTGTGATGATTTATTTGTGGTGTTGGCATCTGAGAAATCTGATAAGAAATGATAAAGGATCTAGTTGATTTAATAATTGAAGGGTAATAAATAGGTTTTCCATAAAAGATGACATTGCAAGAAACACATAGACGACGAGCTATTAGATCATAACGTAGAAATCTCTTTTGGTCAGGATAGTAAACCACAAAACACAAGTGGCTGCTTGAACATAAAACTTTGTTCTTTCATGTACAGGAAGATGAACAAAACAGACACATCCAAAAACATGTAAGACAAAATAATCAGGATGAACATGAAATAATTAATAATATGGAGATTGTTTATGCAAAACTGATGAGGGGAGGCGTTTTATGAGGTAAATAGCTTGATGTAGCTTCAACAAAAACTATGAGGAATACAAGAGTCATGCATAATGGTCCTAACAACTTCCAGGATATGTTGATTTTTTTTTAAGCTATGTCATTCTATTGTAGAGTATAGGGACAAGTTTTCTGTGATGGAATACCTTAAGTTTTCAGA